CCCCCCCCCCCCCCGCAGGCAGGGTTGGGGGAACCACACCACACACATACTGCTCCTCTGGCAACAGGTTGGGCAGCTGCTGCAGTGCTGGTTGGGTTGGGAGGAGAAGGTTGGAGGGGGAGGGCTGTTTGCAGCCAGGAGCCCAGTGCCACCAACCACTTGCTCTACCCAGGTCACAGCTGGGGAATCGGGCGCCAAATTCCCAGGGAGCCTGGCCCAAACAATCAGGGCAGAGGCCAAACTTTGGGTGAGCCCAGCCCAGTCCCTGTACGATCAGGTATGCTTTACTGATTTATATTTACTTTTTGTATTTTAACAGGTGATTTTATAAAGCTTTTAACAGTATACTGCCATTGCTAAATTATCTACTGCCCACAGCTCTGATTTTACACAATCCTGAAGATTTAAATAAAAATTGAAAGGCTTAAAAATAGACATCCGTTTTAGCTACTGAAATTATTTAAAAAAAAAAAAAAGAATGCTGCCAAGCCCATACATCTGTAATGTTTAACTGCATCATTAACTGTTTGTTCCATTTCTATTACGATACTGTTACTTCCCACTACCATGAAATGTAGAGGCCTGCAGGCCCTAGCTGTGTTAAATTCCCTTGCTGTCTTGTGCACTTCTGAATTGACAGTGTGCCTTTTTAACAAGCTGTTCTTACGTGTTTCCCCTTCTTTGATGCCCAATACCGTCAGGTACCTATATTTATAAAATATGTTCTCTAATCTCTAAAGTGGAGAATTCACATGGCAAGGGTTTTAAACACACATTGCTAAGGTCGTGGACAAACTTGCTGTTTGAAGCACTCCAAACAGAAAGGGTATGGAAGTTTAAACCTGAAGTGCTTCAAAAATGAGCCTCAAAAAAAGAAGAGGATCATAAAAGCTTGCACTATCCAACAGAGCATAACAGGGGGTTTAGTCCTCCAGCATCCCACAGTGCTCCATTCCCACCCCCCCACCCCCCAGAGGGAAGAGCAGGGTAGACTGCCAAGTGAGAGCTCTCCTGTGCATACAGCTGTCCTCAGGAACCTCTGGAGACTGGGTGGAGGTATGTAAGGATTGCTGCTCTCCAGACACCACTGACTGAAGGGCTGCTGCCAGCACATGCGTTCACCGACATTTTTGGTGTGTACATGTGTGCATACACGCGTGCGTGGAGAGGGGCAAGAGTGGGGCAGGCAGCAGCAGTGGCACATATTTGGCAGTACTGAAGCACTCTAGAGTGAAGCGGGATTAGGAGCACTTCAAATGCACGCCTGTCCACACCTGAACACTGGGGAATCTGTACTAGATATTTGTTCCACTAAGAAATTTGCAGTCCAGATGCTTCTCACTTCCTGCAGGCCCGTGGGTTCTCGAGTCTCTTCTTCCCCCCCACCAACAGAGAAGAGATGGAGCTTTCACACACCTTGCCATTCTTAGCTGCTTTTTACCTCGGCTGACTGATGTTCGCCACTGCAGAATCCTGTGCTTGGCTGGGATGGCAGTTCTCAGTGTTCACTTCGACTGGTTAGCGGAGGGTGTGCTGGAGTCCTTTAGCCAAACTCACTCTGAATATCAAATGTCCATAAGTACACCTAGTTTCCCTGCAGACTTAAAGGACTTGAGTACAGAGGTCCCTCCTAATTACAACAGGCACAGAACCTGTATATCTCATTATCTCAGCATGGAAAGGAGTCGACACTTGTTACCAGGTTATGCTGTTTCACACAACATGGAAAGGCTGAAGAAAGCTGCTCTCCCCACTTAGGTGGAGAAAGTAAGATTGGGGCACCATAACAAGCTAATGAATGTTGAGACCCACTCCATCCACCACTTCCCCATGAGACATCAAAGCCCGCCACCTACAAAGAGCAGCTCCTCTCACCCCTCTTTGTATCCACACCCTCTAAAAATATACCCTGACCAAGCAGCTGCCCTAATTGAGACCCCAGAATGGATGCTCCACAACTTGTATAGAGAAATAAGAGCACTCCATCTTTGTGACAATGGGTGTTGATGGCCAGACTTCCCAAGTCTGGAAATTGAGCTACCTCTTACACTGGGGAAAGGGGAATTTGTTTCCAAGAATTTGAATCTGTAACATTTAAGGGAGTAAGAATATATAGGTGCATCTACTCTTGCCCCACTTCCCCTACCCTCAGCTGTTTTTATACTTGGAAAGCAACAAAAAAAAGGGGGGGGGAGTGCTCAGTGTCACACTGCAAATATCCATGGAGATGCATTAAGAGAGCGCAAAAGTGCTGCCTCGTGTGTGACAACTCCAACAGAAGACACTGAAATAAGGCCTAAATATTTTCATTTTGCTTCAGCTTAACAGTGCCATGTTCTTGATACAGCAGCAATGGGATAAGAAAAGTGACCATCACAGCAAATCCTTAAGTGCTCGTAAAAACAAAGATAAATGAGAGAGTTCATCCAAAAAAAAAAAAAAAAAAAAGGAAC